TAGAATAGAGCAGTGACTGTTCCATCTTCCTTGAGAATGACATTAAGCTGAATCGTAGCTTATGTCTTGACTCTTGACTGGTCATCTATCTCCTGTCCCTCTAAATAACAGTAACCTTGAGGACATGCTGAAGATGCAAAGACCCTTGTCCAGTAAGAGGCTTCTGAGGCTTGGTAAATATAGGAACTTCAGCAAGCCATCTTTTCAAACTAGGATGGGTCCAATGAAAGTCCTGCATTTTATTTACACCCATCGCAATGACCTAGCCTATACGAGGGAAAAATACAGCATATTTGGGGCTAATGGAAATGCTTTGGCACATTAGTCTCTGGTGACAGACTGTTGGCCAGCGAACCGAGCACGCAATATTTGGTTCTGGGTTCCTGCCCAGATTAATGGAACATGCAAACAGCTGGCCATTCATATTATTTGGTACCAAAACAACCATGCTTCAGCATTTCAGAGCCTATGAAGCAATGGTCCAATTACTGGACGTTTTTTGGAACCACATAATCAATGCTTCAGCAGCAGGTAAGAATCTCTAAAGCAGTTTTTCAGGAAATCCAGAGTGACTTGTGGCTCAGATTAGTGACAACAATTGGCCTGACAGCAACATACAGTGCTCTCCATTATTGGGACAGTGACCATTTTTGTTGTTGTTTTGGCTCTGTACTCCAGCACTTTGGATTTGAAATGATACAATGACTATGAGGTTAAAGCACAGACTGTCAGCTATAATTTGAGAGTATTTTCATGGTACCAAATCATTGGATGCTACCATGATTACGGATAGTCCTGAATAAATCATAAATAATGATGAGTGAGAAAGTTACAGACCCACAAATATCATACCCTCCCAAAAATGCTAACCTCCCCTGTTATTGTAATCGTGAGAGGTTAGCATGTCTTGGGGGTATGAAATTGGTGCGTCTGTAACTTTCTCACTCATCATTATTCACGATTCATTCAGGCCTATCTGTAATCATGGTAGCATCCACATTAATGTAGAAGTGTTTAAAAACATACAGTACCAGTCAAAAGTTTGGGCACCTACTCATTCAACGGTTTTTCTTTATTTTTACTATTTTCTACATTGTAGAATAATAGTGAAGACATCAAAACTATGAAATAACACATATGGAATCATGTAGTAACCAAAATCACACAAAAAAAGTTAATTAGTGGAATGTACAGTGAGGGAAAAAAGTATTTGATCCCCTGCTGATTTCCTACGTTTGCCCACTGACAAAGACATGATCAGTCTATAATTTTAATGGTAGGTTTATTTGAACAGTGAGAGACAGAATAACAACAAAATAATCCAGAAAAACACATGTCAAAAATGTTATGAATTGATTTGCATTTTAATGAGGGAAATAAGTATTTGACCCCTCTGCAAAACATGACTTAGTACTTGATGGCAAAACCCTTTTTAGTATTCACAGAGGTCAGACGTTTCTTGTAGTTGGCCACCAGGTTTGCACACATCTGAGGAGGGATTTTTTGTCCCACTCCTCTTTGCAGATCTTCTCCAAGATATTAAGGTTTCGAGGCTGACGTTTGGCAACTCTAACCTTCAGCTCCCTCCACAGATTTTCTACGGGATTAAGGTCTGGAGACTGGCTAGGCCACTCCAGGACCTTAATGTGCTTCTTCTTGAGCCACTCCTTTGTTGCCTTGGCCGTGTGTTTTGGGTCATTGTCATGCTGGAATACCCATCCACGACCCATTTTCAATGCCCTGGCTGAGGGAAGGAGGTTCTCACCCAAGATTTGACGGTACATGGCCCCGTCCATCGTCCCTTTGATGCGGTGAAGTTGTCCTGTCCCCTTGGCAGAAAAACACCCCCAAAGCATAATGTTTCCACCTCCATGTTTGACGGTGGGGATGGTGTTCTTGGGGTCATAGGCAGCATTCCTCCTCCTCCAAACACGGCGAGTTGAGTTGATGCCAAAGACCTCCATTTTGGTCTCATCTGACCACAACACTTTCACCCAGTTCTCCTCTGAATCATTCAGATGTTCATTGGAAAACTTCAGACGGGCCTCTATATGTGCTTTCTTGAGCAGGGGGACCTTGCGGGCGCTGCAGGATTTCAGTCCTTCACGGCGTAGTGTGTTACCAATTGTTTTCTTGGTGACTATGGTCCCAGCTGCCTTGAGATCATTGACAAGATCCTCCCGTGTAGTTCTGGGCTGATTCCTCACCGTTCTCATGATCATTGCAACTCCACGAGGTGAGATCTTGCATGGAGCTCCAGGCCGAGGGAGATTGACAGGTCTTTTGTGTTTCTTCCATTTGCGAATAATCACACCAACTGTTGTCACCTTCTCACCAAAGTGCTTGGCAATGGTCTTGTAGCCCATTCCAGCCTTGTGTAGGTCTACAATCTTGTCCCTGACATCCTTGGAGAGCTCTTTGGTCTTGGCCATGGTGGAGAGTTTGGAATCTGATTGATTGATTGCTTCTGTGGACAGGTGTCTTTTATACAGGTAACAAGCTGAGATTGGGAGCACTCCCTTTAAGAGTGTGCTCCTAATTTCAGCTCGTTACCGGTATAAAAGACACCTGGGAGCCAGAAATCTTTCTGATTGAGATGGGGTCAAATACTTATTTCCCTCATTAAAATGCAAATCAATTCATAACATTTTTGACATGCGTTTTTCTGGATTTTTTGTTGTTATTCTGTCTCTTACTGTTCAAATAAACCTACCATTAAAATCATAGACTGATCATTTCTTTGTCAGTGGTCAAACGTACAAAATCAGCAGGGGATCAAATACTTTTTTCCCTCACTGTATTTCCTTCTTAAGGCATTTGCTTAATGCATTTGAGCCAATTAGTTGTATTGTGACAAGGTAGGCGTGGTATACAGAAGATAGCCCTGTTTGGTAAAATACCAAGTCCATATTACGGTAAGAACAGCTCAAATAAGCAAAGAGAACCGACAGTCCATCATTACTTTAAGACATGAAGGTCAGGCAATCTGGAAAATGTCAAGAACTTTGAAAGCTTCTTCAAGTGCAGTCGCAAAAACCATTAAGCGCTATGATGAAACTGGCTCTCATGAGGACCGCCACAGGAAAGGAAAACCCAGAGTTACCTCTGCTGCAGAGGATAGGTCCAGCCTCAGAAATCGGCAATTAACTGCACCTCAGATTGCAACCCAAATAAATGCAGAGTAGGTGAACGGATGATCTCTGCATGTGTGGTTCCCACTGTGAAGCATGGAGGAGGTGTGATGGTGCTTTGCTGGTGACACTGTCTGTGATTTATTTAGAATTCAAGGCACACTTAACCAGCATGGCTCCCACACCATTCTGCAGCGATACGCCATCCCATCTGGTTTGCGCTTAGTGGGACTATCACTTGTTTTTCAACAGGACAATGACCCAAAACACACCACCAGGCTGTGTAAGGGCTATTTGACCAAGGAGAGTGCTGCATCAGATGACCTGGCCTCCACAATCACCCAACCTCAACCCAATTGAGATGGTATGGGATGAGTTGGACCGCAGAGTGAAGGAAAAGCAGCCAACAAGTGCTCAGCATATGTGGGAACTCCTTCAAGACTGTTGGAAAAGCATTCCTCATGAAGCTGGTTGACAGAATGCCAAGAGTGTGCAAAGTTGTCATCAAGGCAAAGGGTGGCTACTTTGAAGAATCTAAAATAGAAAATATATTTTGATTTGCTTAATACTTTTTTTGGTTACTACATGATTCCATGTGTTATTTCATAGTTTTTTCACTATTATTCTACAATGTAGAACATTTTAAAAATAAAGAAAAACCCTTGAATGAGTAGGTGTGTCCAAACTTTGACACAATACATTATTTACCATTCATATCTACTAGCCACAAAATAATCTGGAACACAACCAAAACAAACAGCAAATGCATCATTGCGTGCTAGAAATATGGTACCAAATACTACACTTTTGACTACACATATAAGTAAATTTATCCCAATAATTTTGGTCCCCTAAAATGGGGGGACTATGTACAAAAAGTGCTGTAATTTCTAAATGGTTCACCAGATATGGATGAATACCCTCAAATTAAAGCTGACAGTCTGCACTTTAACCTCATAATCATTGCATCATTTCAAATCCAAAGTGCTGGAGTACAGAGCCAAAACAAAACAGAAAATGGTCACTGTCCCAATAATTACGGAGGGCACTATATATCCTCCCACCTATTAATCTTCATTTAGAAAGGGACAACACGCCCTTCACAACTCAAGTGTGACAGCCTTTATTTAAGCCTGTTGACACTAAGGTGATTGTCTGTCCCCTCAGAAGCTAATAAGTATTGGTACTGCCAGTCATAACGCATGAGTCATTACACACAGCGGGTGGGGTGGGGGGTGCTGTTTAAAATGCCAGGCCTGTTCCCCATTTATTATCTCATATCTCACTTGTTCTCCATGTACTTCTTTACTTCCTCCTACATTATCACCAGTCTGGGAGGAGTTATACATTACTGTTATGTCAAAATAGAAAAATGCATTATCTTATAAACTTATATAAAGAATGAATATCAGAGGCATTCTACCAACCTCACCATTCTCCCCTCAATATCCCAGTGGGCCAAATTATGGCTGTCTATAAACTGTGTGTGGATCATTAGATTTTAGTGTCCTGGGTCAAAGCAAAGGCCATTTCATCAGTTACAGCCTCAGTTGGCTTTGAATGAAGGTTAACAGCTGGCGATATAAGCACCTATAAACTTCAATGCCACTTGATGACCGTCATTTCTCTCTGAGGGTAATGATACATATTGGCTCTGATTCTGGACTGAATTTATCAATCTCAGGTCAACTTGATGTTACATTTCATCATTCAATGATCATCCACATTGAGATTAAAATGAGAATCTGCCACTTTGGAATAGAAACAATATAGGCCTACAGTTTTAGAATATGAATAATGCATTTCAAACACCTACACACATACTGTATCACACTATAACATATATTCTCATGAATTCACTATGATATGCTATGCACTATGTTTTCTTACTCTGTTGAGCTGGTCATTGCGTACTATCATCTCAGTGAGCTCTTTCAGGGCATCTTCCATGTGTGCCACAAACTGCAGGGAGGGCTGTCTGTGGGAGGCCCAGTGGTCCATTGCCTGAGCTGCCTGCAGGAGCAGTGAGTGAGCGGGCAGGGGCCTGGCGTCCCTACTAGCTGCCACCACACAGGACAGTAGCTGGCACACTGAGTCTGCCACCACCAACCTGTCCCCGTCCCTGTCCAGGCTAAGCCCTCCAGCCTCTGCTCCCATCGCCTCCCCCTCCACCCTGTTCGCCCCACACAGGCTTTGGAAGAACTGCATGAGGAGCAGCATGGCCTTTCCCAGAGGGCCTGACTTACACAGACTGGAGAATGGGATCTGGGGAGCCGTGGTGGTGACAGGTGGAAAGGCTAGCTGGGCACTGGGTGGTTCTGCAGAGTCTTGAGCGGGTCGCAGTGTCTCTTTGTTGTTTTCTGTCCCACAGCCGGAGTCTATATCTGAGTTGAGCTGGTCTTTCAACGAGCCTGGCCCCACGAGGTCCTGAGAGCAGGCCCATGAAACCATCTCCTGCAGGTTGCACCAAGTCAGACAGACATGATCTTATTAGGATCATTGTCAGCCTCATTATATTCTGTGACACTGAATGAAGCATTGTATCTACAACATTATTGGTTGTCACCCAATTAGCTTTGTTATTAAACCTCATTCAATCATGTCTCTCTCACCTTTATAGCAATCCACTGTCACCTTGTGTAATTTCATAGCACGTCAAAGGACGAGGGGCCTTCTTTCCAAAACAACCTTGTGTGTCCATAACCTCATTAGTGAGCTAGATACATTAGCCACAATGCTCCTTCAGTTCAATAATACACCCGGCTAATAGCTAGGCTCTGAAAACAGCAGCTTCTCCACTCCTCATGTAGACATTGTAATCCAATTACCATCCATGCAGAGCAGTCCTTTACTAACTGAAAATGAGCTACATTTAATGAGCATGAATCAGGCTGTTCATCAATTGAACAAAATAATAAACTGGAGGGAGGCTATTTACCGTGGCAGTACACGGCTGTAGAGCCACTGTGGCTCTGGGCCTATCCAGCAGCTCTAAAGTACAGTGGGCCTACTGTATTGTATATGTGATTGACCAATCTTGGTGACACATTCTTTTAATATTATGAGGTGTACTATAAGTCACACTTGGGGGAGAGGTGGTTAGCTAGCAGGGGGAGAGGATGGATGAATGAGACCCACCAGCACCTGCTCCACTGCTGTTCTTTGAGAGCATCTGGGTGAGTGGGAACTCTTGTCGCAGTCTAAGCACTTCCTCCTGAAGGCCCTGGGCTTTGGTTTTCCAGGCCTCATCCTGGCTCCTCAGTTTACTGGCCAAATGTTCCGGTTGCTGTCGACCACTTCTCCCGGGAGGTTTACTCTTCATTAGTACAACAGCCACTGCATGTTGAGCTTTCCTAACACCCCATTCCGCGATGTCTATTCCTGAAAGCAACCGAAAAATCTTGTCAAAGTAGCTATGTGATGTTGTTCTGTTAGCTAGCTAGCTATCTCCTAATCTTATTCACTACTAGACACTTCCCCCTATACTAGCTAGTCAATTAGCATTACATTTACATTTACATTTTAGTCATTTAGCAGACGCTCTTATCCAGAGCGATATACTGGCTCCCCGTGGGAAACGAACCCACATCCCTGCCGGCCAAACCCTCCCCTACCTTGGACGACGCTTGACCAATTGTGCGCCGCCCATGGGTCTCCCGGTTGCGGCCGGCTGCGACAGAGCCTGAACTCTAACCAGGATCTCTAGTGGCACAGCTAGCACTGCGATGCAGTGCCTTAGACCACTGCGCCACTCGGGAGCATTGGCCCCAGGCTGGGACGAGATTAGCCATCTTCGAGCTAGCAACTGTTAGCCCAACGTTTGCAAGAAATCGGCTAGCTAACGTTAGCTAGCCCAGCAATGTCACGATGATTTGCTGCATAACCCTGGAGATTGTAAACAAACCTTGGTTAAAACAAACAACAAGCGTCATGCTACAAACTAGCTAGCCAAACGCGTTAGCTAGCTCACCATCGGTAACGTTAGCAGGAGGACTTTGCTCCAGTTTGTGATCCATCAAGCCGAGTTCATCGTCACCTGATGAGGGGCGGAATTCCACAACGGTCATTTTAGCTAGCTAACCTTAACCATGTTATGTGGAAAATATCAGATATTGACTCCTGGACCGTCCGTCTGTAGGAGCACGTTAGCTGGCTAGCTAGATAGGCCATTGGTAGTTGGTTAGCCTCTCGCGCATGATAATAATAATATGCCATTTAGCAGACGCTTTTATCCAAAGCGACTTACAGTCATGCGTGCATACATTTATTTGTGTATGGGTGGTCCCGGGGATTGAACCCACAACCTTGGCGTTACAAGCGCCGTGCTCTACCAGCTGAGCTACAGAGGACCATGATGATAGCAGTCAATCATTTCAGAGCGCGCACACATGGCACTGATCTTAACTGCAATGGTTTTTACTACTGAACATATCCACTACTTTAAACTCCTTAGCTGACGTGTTTAGACTATAATAAAATGTGGTAGACTTGACCTGCTCTTGCAGATGCCCTTGCCAATTTATTGAGATGCATGAATACACCACACCAAAAGCTTGATTTTATGTACCAAAAGCTTGATTTTATGTCTGTTTTAAAACGAATTTCCTGCAATTCTACGTAGTAATGATTTATGTTCACTACTTTGTCAATTGATTTGATGATTAAATATATGCAAATAAATGATATGAATTGATAGTTCAGCCCTGTGTTTCCTTTTATTATTTATACTGTAATAGGTACACTATATATACAAAAGTGTGTGGACACGCCTTAAAATTAGTGGATTCGGTTATTTCAGCCTCACCCGTTGTTGACAGGTGTATAAAATCGAGCACACAGCCATCTCCAAACATTGGCAGTAGAATGGCCTTACTGAAGAGCTCAGTGACTTGCACTACATTTCTGCCCTGCTATAGTTGCCCCGGTCAACTGTAACTGCTTTTATTGTGAAGTGGAAACGTTTAGGAGCAACAATGGCTCAGTAGCGAAGTGGTAGGCCACACAAGCTCACAGAATGGGACCGCCGAGTGCTGAAGCACGCAGCGCGTAAAAATCGTCTGTCCTCGGTTCCAACACTCACTGTCGAGTTCCAAACTTCCTCTGGAAGCAACGTCAGCACAATAACTGCTCGTCTGGAGCTTCATGAAATGGGTTTCCATGGCCGAGCAGCCGCACACAAGCCTAAGATCGCCATGCGCAATGCCAAGCGTATGTTGGAGTGGTGTAAAGCTTGCCGCCATTGGACTCTGGAGCAGTGGAAACACGTTCTCTGGAATGATGAATCACGCTTCACCATCTGGCAGTCCGACGGACAAATCTGGGTTTGGTGGATGCCAGGAGAACACTACCTGCCCGAATGCATAGTGCCACCTGTAAAGTTTGGTGGAGGAGGAATAATGGTCTGGGGCTGTTTTTCATTGTTCGGCCTAGGCCCCTTAGTTCCAGTGAAGGGAAATCTTAACGCTACAGCATACAATGACATTCTAGAGGATTCTGTGCTTCCAACTTTGTGGCAAACATTTTGGGAAGGCCCTTTCCTGTTTCAGTATGACAATGCCCCCATGCACAAAGCGAGATCCATATAGAAATTGTTTGTCGAGATCGGTGTGGAAGACCTTGACTGGCCTGCACAGAGCCCTGACCTCAACCCCATTGAACACCTTTGGGATTAATTAGAACACCGACTGCGAGCTAGGCCTAATCGCCCAACATCAGTGCCCGACCTCACTAAAGTACCTGTAGAAATGTTCCAACATCTAGTGGAAAGCCTTCCCAGAAGAGTGGAGGTTGTTATAGCAGCAAAGGGTGGGGACCAATTCCATATTAATGCCCATGATTTTGGAATGAGATGTTCGACGAGCAGGTGTCCACATACCTTTGGTCATGTAGTGTATATTGTAACCATGTATTCAAGCTAATCAAATCAAAGTTTATTTAGTGCTGTCCTTTTAGAACCACGAAGGGCGCTCTAATCGTTTAAAATAACACTCATCAAGATATGTTGCCTACACCTATTAGTCCTCCTCATCATTTATTATTATTATTACAAATAGAAGATTATCACTTCCCACAATGGTGCTCGTTTAGTAAAGTTAGATCAAAGCTGAATCAATGTCTTGCAAGATCACATAACGATTAAGTAGTATTTTACATAACAGAACCGAATAGCATAGCATAGCATAGCAGGCCTATAACATTACTGCTACACCAAAAACACCTAGTTTTTAATGAGATTTTAGAATGGTTAGCTGAAGCTGAATAGTCAGAAATATATATACTGTATAATGCGCCAAAACTCAGAGCCACTATGCAGGATATATGCTTTGATTGAAACACAATAGAAGAAAGGCTAATAGTTTGTTAACATCATCTGCTCTAATTCGCTCACGAAACAGTAATTCAAGAAGATCTAAATGCATAGGCTATTCCCATGAAACTGATTGAGATCAATTAAATGATTGGCATGCAGATGCAGTGTTCACTGGTAAAACGTGAATAATTATAATTCCCGATTGACAGTGATGATGGCCTATTTTGAACGTAGGTATGCCTAACTTGGTGTTTGATGGTATTAAAAATAGAACAATAGCACTACACCACTGCAAGTCAGATCTGTGGTAGGTCTGTAGCCGTGGTGTCTGTGTGCTGCATGTCTTCCCCGCTGGCTTCATCCATCTGAGCAGAAGCCAAAATGAAACCGTCCCGTGCTCATTATGAACAGGGTAAATAAAGGACCTTGAATGACAGCACCATGGACCACTCCTATGTTCACCCTGAGACTTAGTGCCACTGTTTTGATCTGCCCTGACCACGTTTTAGCCTTCTTCTCCATTTTATATACATTGCGTCATAGCCTACACTTGGATTAGCCTACACTGTAATTCATTAAACTGGACTGGATTATTTTCCTGCACCAGCATTGCAATCCAATGCATGCACGATTTATGCAATAAACTGAGATGTATTGGGGCGCTGTAAATGTTTTGGGGACTGTGCTACAGAAGGCTATATCAGTCTGCTAATACAGGACTAGTAAAGGCCCAGAGTACTACTTTTGTGAAATTTTGTTTTTTAATAAATAAAAAAAATCGTATTTTTCAGGGGGTGCTGCAGCACCCCTACGTCCCGCGGCTATGCTCAAGGCCATCTCTTGACTCACAGTGACAGAGTTGTGACAAAGGAAAGCAGCAAGGAAACTGTCACTGTCATACCAGTCATGATGGAACAAGACCTTGGCCAGCGTCAGGTAGACGTACAGTCAAATACTTTAACATAGTAAACAAGTGATCAAAGAAGGCCTTCTCAGTTACAACAGAGAGTGGGGAGAAATTGTGTCCCAGTCATAAAATTGATTAGACTCTAAATTGACCTGATTTAAAGAAACTCATGGATTTGACAACATGAATTAACCCATGCTATTCAG